GTCGCTTACTCTCCCCCACCCTCATTCACTTTCACCAGGCTGGGGCAGGGGGTTGGGGTGCAGGAGGTGCTGGAGGGTGGGGCCGAGAGGTTCAGAGTGCAGGAGGGGGCTCTGGGCTGAGCCTGGGGCAGGGGGTTGGGGTTCGGGGTGCCGGCTCTGGGAGGGAGTTTGGGTGTGGGAGAGGGCTCAGAGCTGGGAAAAGGGGGTAGGGTGCAGGAGGGGGTTTGGAGTGCGGGCTTTGGGAGGGAATTTGGGTGCGGGAGGGGGCTGGGGTTGGGGTGCAGGAGGGGTTCTGGGTGCAGGCTCTGGCCGGGCGGTGCTTACCTCGGGTGGCTCCCAGAAGCAGTGGCATGTTCGGCAGCGGCTCCTAGGCTCAGGGGCAGCCAGGTGGCTCTGTGTGCTGCCCCTGCCTGCAGACAACACCCCCTCAGCTCCCATTGGCCATGGTTCCCTGTTCCTGGCCAATGGGAGCTGTGGAGTCAGCGCTCAGGGTAAGGGCAGTGTGCAGAGATCCCCTGGCCACCTCTGTGCCTAGGAGCTGCTGCCGGACATGCTGGCCACTTTCGGGAGCCAGGGCAGGTAGGGAGCCTGCCTCAGCCCTGCTGCGCCACTGGACTTTTAGCATCCTAAAATCTCCGGGTTTGGCTTCAGTAGCCTCCAGGAGATCGAGTCCGATTCCAGGAGACTCCCGGCCAAACTGGGAGGGTTGGCAACCCTATGTTAGCATAATGCAATACCCTGGAGTCAAGCCTATTAATGTGTATGACAAGGTTAGTGAGCAAGGACCTCTTGAAAAGTAATGGCTGCCTCTCCTTTTCCAAGGGAATGGGTGGGGACAATGATGGTTGAGGAAATACATTAACTCTGAACAGGAGCTCTCATTTGGCTGAATGGAAAGACTAGAAGTTCAAAGCCAATAATAAAAGAAAATGAGTGTGTGAGAGAAGTGAGGGGACAAGGTGGGTAGATCGTGGGGGGGGGGGGGAGGGGCGGGAGAGATTGTGTGCAGGAGGAAAGGATAGGTTGACCAGACAGCAAATGTGAAAAATTGGGACAGGGGGTGGGGTGGAGGTAATAGGAGCCTATATAAGAAAAAGACCCAAAGATCGGAACTGTCCCTATAAAATCGGGAATCTGGTCACCCTAGGAAAGGATAGGCTCAGAGGGATTTTAAAGGAAGAGAATGCCTCCCCTGAGGTAGTTACATGAGCTGCCCCATCACAGCTGAGGAGAGTCGGAAGCCTGAAAGAGAGAGCGAGTCCCCCTTCCTCAGGAATCCCGCTGCTGCTGGTGCCAGTGACAGCTGCTCCGAAATCCACCTGCTACTGTTGGGGCTGGGAGCAGGGAGCCTAAGAGACCAAAACCCTCCTCACTTCTTCACACAGCAGGGTGGGAGGTGAGGGATGCTGCTGCTGGCTGCCACAAGGCTTGATTTCAACTTCTCTTCTATCCAAAAGGAGGGAATTGAGAGGCCGCTCTTCAGCAATACATTGAAAAGGAAAGGGCCACTGAAGTCCAAGTTCTTCACAGATATAGTGAAAAGAAAGAATCCATTTGATTCCCCTGTCTCTGCTGGCTCCCTGCACCCCCTGGTTGATCTAGTTTGGATGAATCCCCTCTGTGTGCTGGAGCCACCTTCATTTTATATGACATTATCATTATTGATCCTTGCCAAGGGCTCTCAGCCTATGAATGTGTCGGGCTGTATATTTATGACTGCACATCAGCCGCCTGTCCTACTTGCTGTGTAAGCAGTGCCAGAGAACATAGACTCATAGAC